GCCAGACAGACAGAGAGAGACATAGAGACAGAAAGCGAGAAATCACCCCCCAGGGGGGATGGTCATGCCGCAATCCCTTCTCCTCCATTCTCCTCTCGGTATCTTGGGCATGCACGCACACATGCCCAGCGTTAGTTTTAAGCCACCGGGTCCGGGACGCGAACCGCAGTCAACTACGTGGGAGTCCAGCAACATAGCCATTACGCTAACTGCTGGTTCCCGGTTGAAACTGTTTTTCACTTAGCACTTTGAATATATTTTCCCATTCTTCCCTTGCTCGCATTGTTTCTGATGAGAGATCTGAGGTTAGCTGATAGGATAACTTTTATAAGTAACCTGACGTTTCTCTCTTGCCAATTTTAGTATCTTGTCTTTGTCTGTAGATTTGGCCAGTCTGGCTAGGATGTGCCTTGGAGAAGATCTTCTTGGGTTGATTCTATTAGGGGTCCTTTGTATTCTTGGGTCTGGATATTTGAATGCCTCTTTAGATTTGGAAAGTTTTCTTCCAAGATTTCATGGAATAGATTATCAATGTCCTTATTAGTTTCCTCACTTTCTGTGATTCCAATTATCTGAATGTTTGGGCACTTAATGCTGTCTAGTATTTCTCAGAAGGTATTCTCATTTTGGGGAGTTATTTTCTCAGCTTTTTTGGTTGTTTTTTTCTAGCTCAGAGGTTTTGCTTTCAACATCTGAGATTCAATTTTCTGCATGGACTAATCTGCTTTAAATACTTTTGAGGGACATTTTGATTTCCTGAAGGGCAGCCTTCATCTCTAATAGCTCCATTTGATTCTTTTTTATGGTGTGTATTTCTTCTTTCAGATCTTGAAAGAACTTCAACACCTCCTGAAACTGGTTGTCTCTTTCCTCCAGCGTCTTCTAGAGTTCATTATCTCTCAGCTCTTGCATCTCATTTAGTTTTGTCACTATGAATATTCTGAAGTCTTTATCAGACATTTCCATGAATTCTACTATACTGTCTATAGATGATGAGGGATTGTTCTTTTCCCTTAGGGGAGAGATATTTTCTTGGTTTCTCGTTTCTTGTGCCTCTGCTGTTGTTTCTGATCATTCTGTGGCAAAATCTCTCCTCCACAGTGGTTTGCAATATGGTATCAACAGTCAGATTAGGAGTTCAGATTTATAGAAAGAAATTTCTTCGTTAAAGCAGGAGGTTCAATAAGCATTGAGGAATTCAATGAATCTAAAAGGATTCAGATGCTTGGCTACTGTGCACCGAAGCCTATATAGACATTAAGTGTGTGGAGAGGGAAGCTTAGAGTAAGAAAGTAAGATTAAAAAATATAAGCAAAAAGAAAAAAAAAACTAGAAAAATACTATCAAAAAAGAGAAAAAATGAAAAAACCGCATAGCGCGTACCAGGACACACCTCAGATCTAAAATGGCTTCTGAAATTAACAAGTGTAAGAAAAAGCCCAAGCTGAGGAGAGGTGCTTGAAAATTTAAAAAAAAAAAGTTAAAAATTTAAAGGGAGAACAGAGCATGAGATAGACAGAGAGACAGACAGCCAGAGACAGAGAGAAGACAGAGGTTGTCCTACCTTGTCTGAATATTTTGGGAGTCTAGGAGATGGGTTTAGAGCATGGCTTCTCTCCTGTTTTCACATTTTTAATGATCTAAAATGGGTTTCATTGTAGCTTTAACATTGATTTCTCTAATAATTAACTATGTTGATCATACTTGGTTATTTGGTTATTGGCCATTCTTAGATCTTTTGTGAACAATCTATTCAGGACTTTTTTTTAATGTGGCAAAATACACATAACAGGAAAATTATCATCTTAACCATTTTTTAAAGAATTCTTTTATTTACTGTTATTTGTTGTAATTTTTTTTTTTTGGAGAGGTTTTTGCTATAGGGTGCATGCACTCTCCAGAAAGACAAGAGAGGGACAGAGAGACAGAAAGCAAGAAATCACCCCCCAGGGGGGATGGCCACACTGCAATCCCTTCTCCTCCATTCTCCTCTCAGGATCTTGGGCACGCACGCACATGCACCCGGCATGAGTTTAAGCCACCAGGTCTAGGACTTGAACCATGGTCGACTACATGGTAATCCAATGACATAACCATTTTGCCCACTGCTGGTCCCTGTAATTATTATTTTTTAAAGTTGACTAGGAGAGATGGAGACAGAAAAGGAAAGTGAGAAAACAAGCGGCCAGGTCCAGGATGTAAACTGCGGTCTGCCATGTGGGAATCCAGCACCTTAACCACCATGCCACCTGCCAGCCCCCATTCGAACAGTTTTCAAGTGTATACATTCAGTAGTGTTGAGTACATTCATAATTTTGTGCAACCAAACCCCTGTACTCTTTTCTTCTCGCAAAACGAAACTCTAGGAACCAGCAGGTGATAATGGTTATGTTGTTGGACTCCCATGTGGTCGATGGCAGTTCGAGTCACAGCCCTGACCCTGAGTACATATATGTGCGTGCCCAAAATCCCAAAAGGAGAATTAAGGAGAAGAGATTGCAGTGTGACCACCCCCCCCGGGGGGTAATTTCTTGTTTTCCGTTTCAGTTTCTCTGTTTCTCTCTAGTGAGCACATGCACCCTGTAGCAAAAATCCCTCTCTAAAACAAACAAACAAAACAAAAAACTGAAACTCTATACTCATTAAAACAGCTCTCCAGTCCCCTATGCCTACACTTTGGTTTTTCTAATTGTTATTGAGGTATAGACATTTGTTATATATCCTGGATACAAGTCCTTTTTCAGATAAATGCAGTGCTTTTTTTTTCTCGGTCTGTAGTTTTTCCTTCCACATTCTGAACAGTGTCCTTTTTTTTTTTTTTTTTTGGAGAGGTTTTTTTTTCGCTATAGGGCGCGTGCACTCGCCAGACAGACAGAGACAGACATAGAGACAGAAAGCGAGAAATCACCTCCCAGGGGGGATGGTCACACCGCAATCCCTTCTCCTCCATTCTCCTCTCAGGATCTTTGGCACGCACGCACACGCGCCCGGTGTGAGTTTTAAGCCACCGGGTCCAGGACGCGAACCGTGGTCGACTACGTGGGAGTCCAGCGACATAGCCATTACGCTAACTGCTGGTTCCCCTGAACAGTGTCCTTTAAAGGTCAGAAGATTTTTTATTTTAATGAAGACCAGCTTAGCTCTTTTTTCTGAGGCAGATCATATTTTCTATGGCTGTGACTGTACCTCACATTTTATATATACTTCTAGATACCTTTTATAATTCGACTTTGGACTTTCTTTTCCCATCGAATTTTACTGGTTCCTTTTTTTCTAGATTAATTGACTGTGTATGTATGAGTCTATTTCAAAGCTATTTTTTTCTGTTTTGTTGGTTTATTTGTTGGTCCTTTTGCCTATAGCATACTATCTTCATTTATAGCTTTATAATAAGTCTTGAAATCAGGTAACACATCCTTCCATTTTATTCCTCTTTGTCAAGATTGTCTTGGCAGTTCTGTCCTTAGTACTTCCACATACTTTTAGAATCGGTAAATAAATATCTAGTAAAAAATAAACTGCTAGGATTTTGGTTGGGATTTTTATTGTATTTTTTTAGTCTCTTTAGCCAATGGTTTGTCATATCTGTTCTAAATACATCAATGACATAGATTTCTTTTTCAGCTTTAAAGTTATGCCTTATGGCAAGCTGGTAAATAGAGTTGTTCAGCTAAACTTGACCAGAATTGTGTTTTTTGTTTCATATGTCATATATGTTATGATTCTTTTTCTTTTTACTTTGCCATAGGGTGCATGCATTTAGAGCGAAGAGAGAAAGAGAGAGGGAGAGAGGGAGAGAGAGAGAGAAAGAGAAACTGAGACACCACTCCCCATTGGTGATGGCCACGTCACAATTCCTTCTCTATTTCTGCATTTGGGAGAAAAACACACAGAGCACTTGTGCATGCATGCCCAGGATCCCAAGAGGAGAATGAAGGAGAAGGGATTGTGGCGTGATCATCCCCCCTGGGGATGCTCTCTCACTTTCTCTCTCTCTTTCACTGTCTCTGGTGAGATCAAATGCCCTATAGCAATTTTAAAAGTATATATATTTAGTATGTCATTAAAAAAAGAAAAAGTGCTGCTTATTATACTGTGACACCTCATCTATTGGAAGCACCCCAATTTTAGGGATGTAAAAATATTAGAATTCTAAGTCTTAGAGTGGACAAAATAGGATATCACGTAATACTATTAGCATAAGTTAAAATACATGCACGTCATTTTACATTTTTGCAAGAATCATATTTAAATAAAACACACATATAAAATATTTAAATAGTTTATTTTAGGAACAACAAAAATGGAATGATAGCAGACTAGGGGAATAGAAAAATACATGGAAACACACATACCAACAAAGGCAAAGTCTTGAATTGAGAAAAATTCACATGAATCCTGTTATATCTGTAAATTCAAATCTTTTTTTTTTTTTTTTTTGAGAGGTTTTTGCTAGAGGGCACGTACACTCGCCAGAAAGACAGGGATCTTGAGCACGCACGCACACCGCCTGGTGTGAGTTTAAGCCACCGGGTCCGGCACTCAAACCACAGTTGACTACGTGGGAGTCCAGCGACATAGCCATTACGCCAACTGCTGGTCCCTCAAACCTTTTTATAAATAAGCATGTTTAGCGTATCTTTGATCTTTTCCACCTGCACATTTTTAATGTTGTGATTTACTTTGCAATGTATGATACTGGCAACAGTTCCACCTGCATGCTGCCGTTCTGTTTTCCACCCGAAAAAAATGTTTTTGGGTTTTTATAACCATTCATCTCTTGGGAACCAGGACTTCATTGCTGTAGCCACCAGTAGACAGGAAGTGCTGGAGATGACCTTGTGATTCCTGACCAGTTGCAAACTGTAGGGACAATTAAAAGGAAATAAGTCAGAAGAGACACTGAGGAAAACATTTTTCTTGACTTTTTCTCTCAAAGTGGTCTGAATAAAGAATGAGCTCTATCCCACTGGTTTATTTACTTATTATTTATTTATTTTGGAATCTTCTTCCAGGAGAATGCACATGCTCACCAGAGACAGAAAAAGAGAGGGAGAGAAAGCGTCCCCCCAAAGGGGAAAGATCACACTGCAATCTCTTTTCTAACATTCCTCCATTCTATCAGGATTTGGGGCACAAATACACACACACCTGGTGTAGTTTTCAAGTCTCCAGGGCTAGGAATCAAACATGGTTGGCCATGTAGGATCCAATCTAAGCCTTAATCACTACACTGTGGGGCTCACCAATATCCCATTGACTTAAAAGAAAGGATTTCTCAAGGGACCACAGCGTAATGGCTATGTCGCTGGACTCCCATGTAGTTGACCGCAGTTCACGTCCCGGACCCAGTGGCTTAGAATTCACACCGGGCACGTGTGCGTGTGTGCCCAAGATCCCAAGAGGAGAATGAAGGGGAAGGGACTGCAGCATGGCCATCCCCCCTGGGGGGTGATTTCTTGCTTTCTGTCTCTCTCTGTCTGTCTGGCGAGCGCACGCACCCTATAGCAAAAAAAAAAAAAAAAAAAGAAAGGATTTTCTAAACATATCTGAGCATAGTTCCCATGTCTAGGTTATCTAAGGACACTTACATTCATTCACTTCAACTATTATTTCTCCTTGATAACACAAGACATCCTTTTTGTGTCTTTCAGAAAGTAAAACCCTTATTTGTGCAGCCTAAAGTGAGCTCGATAACAGATACATCATCTTCGAGTAGTTTTCGTACATCTTCGGTAGGTGGCTTATTTCTTTTTCCTATTGAACGTATTTCTTAATTAAACTTAATAGTGATAATATTTAACCTCAGTACTGATACTTCTTGGTTTACCTACAGATAGACAACAAATACATAGATACAGTCAGCGAACAGTTATCCATACGACGTACATCAAAAGGTAAAAATGTTTATTGTTGGAAAAGAGGTTCATACACGAAATGGAACTTATCTATAGTAACTGCACTTTTCATTTTTACCCAGAGGCATTTGGCAATCTCGATGAATCCATCACTTTATTCACCCACTTTATAAAACCAATGCATAGATAAGCTGTGTGAAAGAATGCTAATATATTGGGTTGTCAGAAAAGTCATGAGGGTTTTTTGTTTGTGTGTTTTTTGTTTTTTTTTTGCTGGGTGTGTGCGCTTGCTAGAGAGAGAAAAAGAGACAGAGACAGTGAGACGAAAAGTGAGAAATTATCCCCCAGGGTGGATGGCCTCGCCACAATTCCGTCTCCTCCATGCTCCTGGGATTTGGGGCATGCATGCACACGCGCCTGGTGTGATCTTTAAGCCACTGGGTTCAGGACTCGAACTGCAGCTGGTCATGTAGGAGTCCAATGATGTAACTGCTATGCCATCTGCCAGGCCCATGACATATTTTTCTGTGCAAAGATGTATCCTGACTTTTCCACCAACCCAATATATTTCTGAGTATCAGTCACTGCTAATTTAAAATGAATTGCCTCACACTTCAAAACCAGGCACTCTGGGCCAGCCGGCTGTGTGGTGGTTAAGGCAGCTGGATCCCACATAGCCAACTGCACAGTTTGAGCCCTGGACCCAGTAGTTTGTGAAACACACCAGGTACTTGTGTGCCCAAAATCCCAAAAGGGGAAGAGATAGAGAAGGGATTGTAGCATGGCCATTCAAACTGTCTCAGTTTGAATTCTTTCTCTTTTTTATTAAATTGCCAACATACCTGATGCTCCTGTTTAATTCCTGTTTTTTCCAGTTTAATAATTAGAAGTACAACTACTGGGCTGTTGGAAAAGTCATGATGCACTTTTGCATAGAGAACCATCATAACTTTTCCCACAACCCAGTATTTCCTGCCAACTTTATCTACCGTAAGTCTAAACTGGACTCTTGAAACTGGAAGTAGCCTTTGTCTATAAGTTTCTGTAAGTCTGTTTTTTAAGAATTATTTATTTTATTTTACTTGTTATTATTATTTATCTTTTAATTTGACCAGTGAGAGAGACAGAGAGTGTGAGAAAGGGAAAGGGAGAAAGCAAGTCACCAGGTCATGGGTATGTGCATGCCGGGAATCCCAAGAGGAAAATGGAAGAGAAAGAGATTGCAGCATGACCATCTTCCTTGGCCGGTGATTTCTTACTTTCTCTCTCTCTGTACCTTTGGTGAAGCACATGTACCCTACAGGAAAAATCTTTCTCTCTTAAAAAAAAGAAAAATATTGGTATTTCAGCAAACACAACTCTTCAAGCTCTTAGAGTATTGCCAAGGTTGAGCACCCCTTCAGGCCTCAAGGGTTTCATATCTCATTTGTGTTTTCAAGCACTGATTCACAAATACATTTTAAAGACGCGTTAGCTACCTGGTCACCATGTATCTGACTTACAGACACATCTTTACATGCTATGACATGGGGGTGGGAGTAATGTCACCTACCTGGTGACAGACCCCAAGTTGATCTTTCTAAAGTCATCGTTTATTGTGTTACATATGTAAGCAGGATATTAATATCACAAAGGTCCTTTGGAACATTACCCTCCCTGTTGCATCCTCAGTGTTGCCTAAAAGGCAGGTTCTGAGGTTGCACTTCTGCACCACCAAATACTTTTTAAAATTATGTAGAGCTAACATTGTGTGTGGGTAGATACTGTTCTGACTTTCAAGTTCAACTCGATTCCTCACAAAAACCCCATGAGGTAGGTCCTCTTGCTTTGCCCCGTTTTACACACAGGACCGTTGAACACAGAGAGGTTTCATAAACTGCCCGGGTTATGCCACAAAGAAGTGGAGCCTCATGATTCAAACCCAGGCAGTGCAGTGCAAGAGCCGTGCCAGCGATCAGGCAGCTACACCGACCTGCCCCAGGGCTCACCACCACAGCGTGCTGTCCCGTTTTCGACACACGATGGGAAAATACACAACTAATGCAAAGAGCGTGGGTTTGTGAGGCCGGCAGCCTGTTGTTCCCGTCGCCAAAGAACTTCTTGCTCACTGGTGACTTTGTCTCAGTTCCCTCTGCAGTATAAACTGAAGTGGTCACCGGGAGTTCCTTAAGAGGATGAAATAAGATAATATTTGCCTAGCTAATCCTTCTACTTATGATGTGCCTAGCTAATCCCTCTACTATATTAGCCATTCCTAATATAATCTCAAACTGAGTCTGGCAAATCTACATTTTAACCCACTCCAAGACAGCCACAATGCCCTAAGCTAAGCAAACGAATTCAAAGAACTAGTTTCTTTTGTTTGCCTAATAACTAATTTTCTACCAGACATACATAAAAACAAAATCGAGCATTAGTATCAAAACACACCATAGATGTTTTGAAAAGAGTGAGTTAAATATGAATAAAGAGTTTAAAACAATGTTATCTCTGCGCTGCTCTCTAACAAAGTGGTTAAGGGAGCTGGATCTTACATGGCCAACCACAATTCGAATCTCAGCACCTGTGACTTGAAAAACATGCCAGGTATGTTTATGTGCATGTCCAAAAGTCACAATAGGATGGAGACATAACCAGACCCCCACATGGGGGTGCTTTCTTCCTCTCCCCATCTCTGGCTGGCAACCACATGCAAACTCTGGCAATTAAAAATAATAATAATAAAAATGTAAAAAAATGAAACAGTATCCTCTCAGGTGCTATGTCCTTCAGTGAAAATTATGTTTTTGCTATGTTGCAAGTTCTAAAGATTCTAAAGAGAACAGTTGTTCATGCAAAATGCAAAGTTTAAGAGATAAATTCCTGATAACTATAAGAGAATAAAAATGAAGCACAATACCACCTGCAGAATTTCAAAGCTTTTTTTTTATGCAGTAGTAATTATCCCAAGAGAGCACAGGTAACATTATTAATTTGTTTGCTGCTTACCTGTGATAAAATTTGGGATCTGAGCAACCCATTGTGTACTGTGCTCTGCCCCAGATTTTATGTACTCAAGAAGACCTTTCTCACAGTCCAGTAATTAGGTGCTATTGACATTGTAATCTTTGGAAATGTTCTTAATGAGCCCAAAAGACACGGATCTCATAGATAAAACCTCAAAGTAACAGTGACTCTTTAAGTGGCTTGTCAGGAAGAGAAAGCTCAAACATCAGTATCTGAAATACAGGAGAAACCCAAATTTAAACCTAGATTACATTGTGTCGTTAATTCTCTGAGACCTCAAGGGAAGAAACATCCAAGAAGTGATTTGAAAGGCTTTTGAAGAATAATAGAATCATTGTCATATATTTGCTGTCTTTTAAGAGCCTTTCTTTTTACTCTTTGAATCTTTGGGATAGTATTTTTTTTTTATATTTTATTTGGAATAGTATTTTTATAAGTGTATTTTCCACCAATTTATAAAGGTAAATAATAATTGAAAGTGGAATCTAGTTGCTCCTGTTGTTCTAAATACAAAAATAATTTTCTAAATCACACAAGAAATTGCAACTTAATGAAAAGAAATGCTTGGATTGTCAGCTGTAATTAATATAATTTGGTAAAATTTTCACATTTATATTCAAAAGCACATTTTATAATATGACTATATAATTGCATATATAAACAGTATATAACATAGTATTATTTAGCATGTAATTGATGGCTATTAAAATGTGAGAATTCACTAAATGTATTAAGGGTCTGTACATGTTAATAATGTCACCCTGTGTCTCCTGCATTCTTTTTTTTTTTTTAAAGAATTATTTTATTTACCTTTATTTATTTATTTATATTTCTTCATTTGACCACAGAGGGACAGAGTGAGAGAGAGAGAAAGTGAGAACGCAAGCTGCCAGGTCCAGGACTCGAACCACGGTCAGCCATGTGGGAGTCCAGCACCCTTAACCACCATGCCACCAGCCGGCCCCTCTCCTGTGTTCTTTATTGTCACCAATTATCTATTATTCAAATGTATATTCCTAGATTATATGTGTCACCTTTGTCTTTGAGATTTGAGCTGATTCTGAACTACTTTTCCTTAAGAATTTTCCTTTCTTTTTTATGCACTTATTCTAGAAATCATTTCTGCTTGAAGTATAGAATTTAGGATATTCATTTATCTTTCTAAATTCTCAATGGCATAGAAAAGAGTCAAGATGAGCAATTAGATTACTGAAGTAATGACCAAAAGAGACTCTGTCTCATTGAAACTCTGTCCATGGGTCAGATAGGAGATGGAAAGATATGAAAAATTAAAAGGAAAAATATTCCATGTTTTGAAAATACAGTGTTGGGGCCAGCAGGTGGCATGGTGGTTGGGGCGCTAGACTCCCACATGGTCAACCACAGTTTGAGTCGCAGACCTGGCAGCTTACCAGAGTTCACTCTCTCTCCCTCTTTCTTCCTCTCTATCATGAGCACACATGTTCTGGAGCAATGATAAATAAAATTAAGTAATTACTTTTTTAAAAAGAAAGTAGAGTGTTGGGACCAGCAGATAGCATAATGGCTATGTCGCTGGACTCCCATGTAGTTGACTGTGGTTAGAGTCCTGGACCCGGTGGCTTAAACTCACACCGGGCACATGTGCATGCATGCCCAAGATCCCGAGAGGAGACTGGAGGAGAAGGGATTGCGGCGTGGCCATCCCCCCTGGGGGGTGATTTCTCACTTTCTGTCTCTCTGTCTCTCTCTGTCTTTCTGGTGAGCACACACACCTATAGCAAAAATCTCTCCCTCCAAAAAAGAAAATAGAGTCCTAATATTTTAATTAAATAGGTGAGTACTTACTTTAAATTCCTAAGATCATAAAAATTTAATGAAAAAAGGCCAAGACATACATATTAAAATATATTTTCTTAATTTGATGGATCATCTTGTGTTAATTCAGTCTAATGATGCTTCCAGGTATGTGTAAACAATGTTTCATTTGATAAATATCACTAAGCACATTCTTTATTATACTGAAACCCAGTGCTTAGGCATAAGACAGAATG